CTAAGTAACTGAATTTCTTGTGTTCTGCTGCCTGTGTTGGCTTCCTATAGATCCTGCTGCAGGTAAAGCTTTGATTTCATAGAGGAAGTCATCTATCTTTAAAACTCCCCACCAGGTACCTTGACTCGTGATCATCAGGAAATTCTCTGCAGAGATGGGATTCAATTGCCTCGTGGAGCTTGGAGAGCCACATGAAACCCAATCCCTCAGACGAGAAGAAACAACTTGAAAAATGATCATTAATTAGCATTCTCCTTTTTCTTCTTTCCAGTGCCCAGAAAATGGTTTTTCTTGGCTCTGGAACTAAATGGAGTAAACACCTGGGCCAGATTTGCTCGGAGCTTACTTCTCTAAGCAACTAATTCTTGACAGAAAATATGCTCACACCATGAAGGCCCACACCAAAGAGAAGGCAAAGCCTCCATTTATCCTGTCTCTTGGATTTCATTTCAGCCTCCGGGAGGCCGAGTCAGTCCAGGCAAGCCTCCTCCGGTGCTTTATGGCAGCAGAAAACAGTTTGGCCTGGACGACTGCACTGTTATCTTAGTGCAACAGAACCTCAGCAGAAGCCTTTTGAGCAGATTTCTGTGTTTCGAAGGCTATTTGCATTGTAAAAGGGAGACTCACGGATGCACCAAGATGGGCAACCAGCCCTGTGAACACTGGACTTTCTATGCCAAGTTACTGTTCTCACCTGTGACTGGCCTACTTTCATACTGCCTCCTCTCACGCTCTTTAGCCAGTTCCAACTTCCACATGAGCTGTCACACCTTGACTCTATCTGCTGGTCTAATCTCTCACATCAACCAAGGGTGTGCTGGAGTCGGCTCCAACTGGTTCGAGACAGTCAATTATGCGCACCTCTTCCCAATGGCATGTTCAATAACATCACGTTGGTCGCTTGAAATGGGGCAGAGTGAGTGTAGTTGCATCATAGAAAGCAGCAAATCCTACAAATAGGGCTTTTTCTCCCCTTTCCAGAGAGCCAGTTGTTAAACATTTACCCCCAGGCAACTAGATTTACTCCTTTTCAAAAGTTAAATCAAATTTAGAAATGATTTCATTTTAGTAAGTGTTTGGCTCTATTCTCGGCCCCAAAAGAACAAAAAGGGGAGTACCAATCCTGGGCAAAGTTGCAATATGTGCCCTGTGGTCCCCTGCATAGTCTTCTTGAGAAATGTCTCCTCTAGGTTATCAAAATATACCTGACCAGTGTTCCACTCACCTATGCCAAGTTGATAAACATGTTCTAACTGGGAACAGTTCTATATTTTATTTCTGTTGGATGAGTATATTTTTATCACAGGACATTCAATGTCTTAGCTCCAAGGAGTAAGATGGGGGAATTTCAGTCACACTGGCAAAGCTACCAAATACCAGCTGCTGTCCCTTAAACAGCTCTTACATACTTATTTCAATAAAGAATTAGAAAATGGTGCAGCCTCTTTGGAAAACAGTTTGGCATTTCCTCAAAATATTAAACATAGAGTTACCACATGACTTAGACATTCCATTCCTAGGTGCACAGCCAAGAGAATTGAAAGTATTCACTACACAAAAACTTATATATGAATGGTTATAGCTGCATTGTTAATGCCATTATTTTTGGAGTAATAGTGAAAAGTGGAAACAACTCAAATGTCCATCACCCGATGAATGAATAAATAAAATGTGGTCTATCCAGACGATGGGATATTGTTTTATCATGAAAAGGAAAGAAATACTGGTATATGCTACAACATAGACAAAACTTGAAAACATTATGCAAAGGGAAAGAGGCAGATACAAAAGGCCACATATTGTATGATTCTCAACAGAATCATACAATATGAAATGTCTAGAATAGGCAAATCCATAGAGACAGAAAGTAGAAGAGTGGTTGCCAGGGGCTGGTGTAAGGAGGAAATGGGGAGGAACTGCTAACGGGTATGGGTTTTTTTGGAGGGGTGATGAAAATGGTCTTAAATTGGATAGTAGTGATGGTTGCACAACTCTGAGAATATAGTAAAAACCACTGAATTATACATTTTAGATGGATGAGTTTTAAAACATGTGACTTATATCAATTTTTAAAAATAGATATACACTAAATATGTGTCAGTATCCTTCTATCATAGTCAATATAAATAACTTTACCGCATTAAAAAGTTAAGAATTGTAGGCTAACCTTGATTGGATTCTGCTTTGAACAAAGCAACTGTAAAAAGATATTTACTTCATAAATGTCATTTTGACACACTAATTTGACATCAATTAATCAATTAATTGAGTGATTTACTTAACACTCCTTAAGTAAAAATACATATTTTAATGCAGAATGACAGGCCAACTTTGATTACATTTTCATTTGAACAAACCAAATGTAAAAAGACACTTGAACAATTTTAGAAAAAAAAAACCATACAGCTAACATCATACTTAACAGGGAAACTTGAAGCTTTTCCACTAAGCTCAGGAATAAGGCAAAAATGTTCCCATCACTCCTTTTCGACATTGTACTGGAAGTCCTGGCTGATGCATTAAGACAGGAAGAGCAAATAAAAAGTATATAGATTGGACAAGAAGAAATAAAACTGTATTTGTTTGCTGATGACATGACCATATCGATAGAATATCTGAAAGAAATTGACCCCCAAACCCTGGAACTAACAAATCCTGGGAGATTACCCTGTAAGCTCTCATACCAACCGTTCATGTGCATCCACGTGAGAGAAAACTCAGGGGCACAGCATGACCTAGTGGAGGGAGCCTTGCTCTTAGGTGATGTGAAAGGCACCCCACAGTCCCCGTGTGGCCTGTTGGGGGATGAGGAAATGGAATTGAGAGGTATCGACCCTGCCCAGGGACCTTGGTGAGAGGTAAGGTAGCCTCAGAGAAGAGGAGATGGGGACAGAAATGCAGAAGGGTCTGCAGTGCCAGCCGAAGAGCTGATGGGCCAAGTCAGCCTCAGAGAGGCCACCAGCAGAAGACAGCAGATGCACCAGAGGGCACCCAGACCAGTGTCACCCAAGCAGCAATCCCAGCCAGCTGCTCCAAGGCAGAGACCAGTAAGGAACCAACAGACCTCACATCCATTCAAGAACCCCAACCCCCCGCCAACATCATAGCGCCGTGGAAAATACGGCCACCTTCCTTATACTTAGATGTCACCTCGGAGGAGCAGAGGTGGGAGTGGAGCGTTTCTCCCGACAGATCTCTAGAAAAACTGTTTAAATGACAGGATCTAACCAAGCACTAACTAAACATGGACAATTGTCCCTCTCCCCCAAAAGGGTGAGCTCTGATGAGGAATATTGAACCAACTGTAGAAAAATTAAGGAACTACATTTTCTTTGCTCACCTGAATGTAATGTGAGAAGATCTGAATCATGCTACAGCCTAAATTTGTTCTACAGAACACCCTTCTCCCAAGATGCTCGCACGGCAAGAGTCCTGTGGCCAGATAGATCTGGGACTCTCCACATCCCGAATTCCTGAGTGGCCCTCCTGGAACTCCTCAGTGCACCCAGAATATTAAAGGCTCTGAATGGTCCACAGTGCAAAGCCTGGTGAAACTTTCTTTAACCCAGCACCATGTTTGGCCCCGTAGCCTTCCTTCGGATGACTCCTGTTAATGTCCCAAAGAACTCATATTCTGGGAACTCTGCTCCGTGGAAGACAAAGATAGCTGGGCTCAGCTGCAGGAAGCTGTGCCTTGGCTCCAGCAGGCAGGGGAGGTGACTCCCACTTCCCTGCTCACAGAAAACGAGGAGCAGCCTCCCAACCAGAGAGTGTCCATTCATTCCTACGTGGCCCAGGCACTCGATGCAGATACTTTCCTGCACTCCTGGCCCCTTTCCAGAGTTTCAGGCCCCTTTCCAGTGTGGTTAAGGCCAGGTGTATTCTGCATATGAGACATGACTCCGGCTGATGCACGGTTTTCGCTTTGCTGACGGAGATGAGTTATTACAGTGCACGCATATATTTTGGTTTTCCTATGAAAACCATTTACTGAAGTGGAGAGAGTACAGGACTGAAAAATCCAGAAAAACCTGAGTTAGAGGCTCTCACTACCCACTAGCAGACTACCAGCCCCGTTTCAAGGGTCAACAACCCGTCAAAGGCAAGTGGAAGCAGCGTCTTGGACCCTTCACTGAAGCCCTGCCACGAGAGCGTGTGGGCTTCAGATTCCGCAGTGATCTCTGCAGCGCGTGCACAGGCCTCCTTGCCGGCTCGACCCTCCCTGCCTGGCCTCATTTTGTACTTGCCCCTTGGGCCATAAGACTCAGACAGCCCTGAATTATATCAAAGGTATTTCTGGCCCTTGATTCAGGACTTCACAGGGGCCAATGTCACCAACGTCCATCCTCTTCCCCTTAGTCAGCTATTGTTTCAGAGCTTCTTCCGTCTTCTCTGCCGCCACGGTCTGGCGCCTTGAAGAGAACCATGCAGCTGGCACGGGACAGCCTGTAGCCATGGACACCCGCAGAGCCTTGTTTCGTTCCATAATGCGATTAATAAAAGCTGTCTGCTTTATCTGCCTTGCAGGGCTGTTGTGACGATCAAAAGAGTGAAAATATACCCAAGGCTGAGGTTTGCCGTAAAGCCCACTATAAATGTTCCTTGTTATTATCTATTTTTATAGAATTTATTTATTTTTTTGTTTGTTTGGTTTTTTTTGAGACACGAGTCTCACTTTGTTTCCAGGCTAGAAGTGAGTGCCATGGCGTCAGCTAGTTCACAGCAACCTCAAACTCCTGGGCTCAAGTGATCCTGCTTCCTCACCTCCCTAGTAGCTGGGACTACAGGCATGCGCACCATGCCCGGCTAATTTTTTCTTTATATATTAGTTGGCCAATAATTTCTTTCTATTTATAGTAGAGACAGGTTCTCGCTCTTGCTCAGGCTGGTTTCGAACTCCTGACCTTGAGCAATCCACCCATCTCAGCCTCCCAGAGAGCTAGGATTACAGGCGTGATATTTTTATAGAATTAATTTTTAATGTTTCACAGGATCTTAATAACTCTTCAAAAAACCAATGTTGTTACTTGTTTTCTCATCTGAACAAAATGAGGATTAATGCAATGCGTTTCTACCCAGAAAAGTTTTAACTAAGTGGAGGAGGGCGGTCAGCACCCTCAGATACATCCTGGAAATGCTCCTGTGAAGAGGCCCACGCGTGGCTATCTGGCTCCCAGACCGTGCTCCCGCTGGTCACTGCTACGGATCTGGTCCTGCTCACCTGGGAACGGCTCACTTTCAGTTTTCACCGGCTTTGACTTCCTGTCGGCCTTCCTTCCTTCCTGTCTCCCTGGCTGCCCGAGCGTTTGTGATGTTCCAATCCTCAGCACACAGGACTGCTGACGTACCTTTTCTACACCAATCTGTCGTCAGGCTCTACATTTAGAAGTAAACACAATGAAATGTTCTTTTAAAAAGCTTCTAGAAACCTCCTGGGAACAGATTGTGTCCAGTTCTGTCCAGATTTTGAACGGAAAATTTTTAGTTCTTCCTACTTCCCATCTACTAGTGCAATACCTGCTCCAGGTTCAAGTGTCAATAGAACAGTCAAAGGCAAATGGAAGCTGAGCCTTGGATCCTTCACCAAAAACCCTCCCACAGCAGCATGTGGGCTCAGATATTCTGAACTAGTTAGATTTCAGGTGGCACCACCAAAACTCTTAGCCTAAAATCATCTTGGGAGAGTTGAAGTAGGGGCAAAACCACTGGAGAAGCCCTACTAAAGCACTGAGGGTGAAAGGAATGTATTTTAATAACCAACCCCCAGCCCCACCCAAGAAACCTCCTTCTGGAATAGTTCTGGGCCAAATAAATCATGGCCATATTGAACTTCAGGCTGAATCAGTTTTCCCACATGAGCGTCTTAGTCCTCGGAGAGACATCAATCAACCGGAATGATTCCAGACAAGAGCCAGGCCAGATCTACTCCGTGTTGGCAGACGAAGGCCTCCTAAGGTGGAATTAGAGCTGAACCAGATCTGGAAAACTCTACAGTCCCTCATGTTTGATCATCTGCTTGTTCCTCAGTTATAGTAAGATTTGGATTCAACCTTATTCGGCAAAGCCTGTCATTTAGTCCATCTTGGAATTTCCATTTACACAACATTGGCGATCACGACTCCTCACCTCCTTTCTTCCAAAAGGTAAGATTTTGAAATCCTAATCACGTCACATGTGTAGTTAGCGCTCAGCTGTAACAGTTTCTCTGTTTACATTCACTTCCTCACTAAAACCTCACTGAATCCCCAGAGTGTAAAGCAGGTATTACCAGCCCCATCTTATGGCGGAAGAAACTGAGGTTCAGAGAACTTGAGAGGGTTCCCCCAAGATGCTATGGTTGGTAAATGACAGAGCTATGTCTCAACCCCACATGTGCCTAAGTTTCACGCACTTTCTTTGCATTTAGAGGGTTTCTAACCTAAGGTCTTTGGGCTGGCTTCAGGAGATTGCCTAGAAAAATTTATATGCACAGTTCATACATTTTTCTAGACAAAGAGTCCACAGCTGTCCTGGGATTTTCAGAGATGCAAAACTAAGGCCGGGCATGGTGGTTCACAACTGTAATCCTAGTACTTTGGAAAGTCAAAGCAGGAAGATCACTTGAGGCCTGGAGTTCAAGACCAGCATGGGCAATAGCAAGACCCCACCTCTAGGAAAAATTAAAAAATTAGCCAGGCGTGGTGGTGCGTACCTGTAGTCCCAGCTACTCTGGAGGCTAAGGGCAGAGGATTGCTTGACCTCAGGAGTTGGAGGCTGCAGTGAGCTACGATGATGCCACTTCACTCCAGGCTGAGCAACAGAGTGAGACCCTGTCTCAAAAAGAAAAAGAAAAAAAAAATCCTAAAATTGTTAAGAACATGCTTCCTGTTTTGTCTGGCATAGAGTAGGCATTCAACATTTGTATGCTGAGTTGAGGATTAGTGGAGAGTAGGGGAGATGAGATTCGGGGGCTTAATGCTTGGTTTATCCAGAAGTGGCCCAATGGGGAACTACCCCCATGCAGCTGCAGCTCCGGTCCTTGTCATGGTGACCCAGAAAGTACATGCCGAGGTTGGGGACAAGCTAGGCAAGCATGGTGATGGACAGATAGCTTGGAACCCAGGACCAACCCAACTCATCTGGAGAGAACACATCCCTACAGAAGTCTACAGACAGAACCTTGTTGAAAGAGAAATTTCCTGCTCCTCTCCTGAACTTGGAGTGTGGTGGCCAGTTTAGGGGTTCCTGGGTCTGCCCCGGATGAATAGATCCTCTAGGACTTTGCTAGAAGCAAAGAAATTGGACCTTCCTGAGGCGATACCTATATGATCTGGCCCAGGTCTCATCACAGAGTGAGATAAAGAGGAAGGTTGAACTTCCTGGCCTTATGCAGAGAAGATAAATGAACATGAGGCTTTGGCAAAGGAGCTGAAGCAAATGTGTAGATCAGGGAGGATCATTGTCAAGCCAGTTGTCATCTCAGCAACTGAATCTGCTTTGGATTTACTCATCTGGGCACTTTAAAGAACTAGACATTAATGACGGGTTGGCATCCAGTCAGAGAGACAAGAAGTACAATCAGGACATTTTTATCCTAATGACAGATATTACACCCTCCCCCCTTGGCTAACAGGACACATGCTGTTAAATGCGTAAAATCTGATTAACTCGGGCGGTAAGAAGCAAGCATAACAACCCCAAATCAGGCTTCCAGTTTGGGATGTTTTTGGTCTTTGTGTTTAACAGGATGTGTTTAGAGGAGAGATTTCCGCAGCCACGGATGCACAGAGAAACCTGGTGCCCGAAGAAGAATGAGGGGAAGCAAGAGCCTGCATGTGTCTCACGGTAAACAACGAGGCCGGAAGCATCCCTCTGGAATGCAGTCAAAAAACCCAAAAAACAAAAACTGCCTGCTCAAACGCTGGAGTGCGAATGCTCTTGAAACGGAGCAGCTCCTTTAGCAAAACTCTGCTGGATGGCAGACATAAAAGGATGGGCGTGTGGGAGTGGGTTGTATGGGGGAAAGTCGGGAACAAGAACTATTAGCAGCCAAATAATGTGTGTCTGTGCGTGAGAGAGAGAGACTGACAGAGAGACAGAGAGGAGAAACCCAGATTCTGTTGTTGGAAATGCTCTAAGTTTAAAATTCAGCCCGCAATCCATCCCAGTCCCTTTCAGTAGAGTCCTGGCAATTGACTCGGGTCCTGGCAGCGCTTTGGGGGACCCCGAGTGTAACAGCATGGGAAGAAATATACGATATGTTTCAACATCCTTGAATGCTTTTTAATCAAGTTATGGTGTGGAGGAGAGGCTCAAGCAGCAGTCCTGGCATTATTTTAATTCACCTACTGGAAAATTATTGAAGCATATTTTATATAATTAGGGTCAAGAATGGATTTGGTGCCATTTAAGGCAAATGCCCTGAACACAAAGCCGATTGAGCTGGCATGATTTCTAGCCTTGAGAACAGCAAGTCTGGCAACAATTAATCAGGCGAGAGGAAAGAGTACAGAGACCACTGTTTGGCCATTCTCTGCACAAACCGGGGCAAGGAATTATGGAACTGCAGCAACTAGCAGTAGAAGGAGCCCACTGGAGTACAGCAAAATGTCGTAGGTAATGGCTTGTGTCCGGAACATCTCAGGAAGTTTATGAATGCTAATTTAATTGTACAACAGGCCAGGAAAGTCAGCAGTCCTTGTCTTACAAGCCCTAGGCGTGCTGGGAGCTGGGTCTCCTTAGGGCTGACCAGGTGTTCTGGGGTGAATTATCCTTATGTGAATTGCTGAGAAACCAAAAAAAAAAAAAAAAAAGGAAAAGAAAAGAAGTAATCCAACATTATTAACAACACAGCTGATGAGCAGAAAGAGGACTTGGAGCACAACCATGATGCTTAGCACAGATGCTTCCATTCAGGACCAAAAAATAAAAAAAAATGTTGTCCTGAGCCTCAAAGCTGTCAAGCCGTGTGCAAGAAAGGATTGCAATGAAACCCCCAAATCAGCCTCATGGCATTCTTGGACGAGAAGCCTCCAGGGAGACTGGCTCCCAGTGCAGCCAGTCTGAGGTCCAAGTGTGGTAACAGCTTGCTGGTGAATGCTGTGGGGTGGAACAAAAGGCACACACTGCATTGTTATTGCTTTGCTTTTCCCCCTTGGCTACTCCCAGGACATGCTTTGGGGGTAAGACCAGCAGACTTGCCTCCGGGCATATTCCAAGGGGAGTACTGGGAGGAAGAGCACCAAATTCTATTATATACAACAGAGCAGATAAAAGGATGGCCGGAAAAGGGAAGTCTCATAGACATAGGATATAAGAAGACTCAAAATGACAGTGACTCAAGCAAGATGGCAGTTATTTCTCTTGCACATAACAACCTGGCCATCAACCATCCAGAGCAGGTATGCTGGCTCTATGATAAAAGGACCCAGGATTCTTCAATCTCGTTTCTTCACTGTCCCAAGGGTGTTGTTCTCATCTAAATGGTCTAAGATGATTCATCGCCACCATGTCCCCACTCCAGTAGGAAAGGAGAAGGGGTGGGGACTCCTCTATCCCCTAGGAGAACAACTTGGAAGTTCTATACATCACTTTTACTCACATTCCATTAGTCAAGAAATAGTCATGTGATCATACCTAGCTGCAAGGGAGGCTGAGAAATGAAACCTTTTTTTTTTTTTTTTTTCTGAGTACCCAGCTAAGAATTATGTTTTTATGGAAGCAGGAGAGAGGCAGTCTGAAGAAGCAAGGTGTGATACAGCCAAGTCTTTGGCTCTCTGTTAGAAGTCCCCACCCCACACTCCTTCCTCAGTTGCTCTTCCTTTTCCTCCCTCTGACCCCAACACTTCCTCTCCTGTGCTCCACACAGCACCCTCAGTCTTTCTCTTTGTCAATCCTCTTTTACACAGACTCCATGACCCCACCCTGCACTCTTTTCTTCTGGCTTTTCTCTTTTCACATTTTCTTCTTTCCTCAGATCAGAGAATCTTAAAAGGAAGGAGAGAAAAGGTTGCATCTTGCATGAACATCTGAGGAACACATTTTCCTGGTTGTAACTCCTTGTGTTATCTTGACACTTTAGACAGTCACCTCCCTAAATGCAACGGAGGCCTTCTGTACATAGAGAGCGGCTCTAACATTTTCTGTACTATATGTGCTCAACACCAAATAATTTCAAACACACAAATCAAGATTCACTTTGCTCTGGATGACTGTGACATGGACACATATACATGTGAAATACTAAATATATTATACAAATGGTCGATGGCAAGACCATATATGGCAATTCAGACTCACATAAGAAGCCAGAATCACAACCACTGAAGCAGGCTTGATCAGTAATTGCCAGCTTCCCTATTTTTTGGTCCCACCCTTCCCAGTGAGGACCAACCAGA